CGATGCGCGCGCTTCTCGTTTGGCATCTATCTGTGGCGCGACGCGACCGAGTCGTACGACTACACACGAGACAAGTCGCGACACGATCGATTGACATTTTTCGCAAATTGATTTGGAGCTTGCGTGCGCGCTAGTTAGGGAAAACAAGCTGCCTATCGATCATCTTTAACAGCGGGGGTAAATTTAAAGGATGATCCATCAAATTTCCTGGAGCGAAAGTTCGTCCCCCGGCTGATGGCCCGGGGTAGCGAACGAACTATTCATTATATTTCCAAAAAGTTATAGACGCCAAAATGTTTATTCTCGCTCTCACTGTACGATGTCGATAAAACACTTATTTACGAGATCCCTCCATATTGTTCATCGGCTGATTAATTGATCGGACGCGTTTGCGATACATCATCGAGGCGTCCGCGAAAAAAGAAGAAAATATCACATTAACGTCGCACTCGTATTATAAATAAAGTTAAGGAGCGATATAGATATCGAGGTCCGAGGCGCGCGATATTAATCATTAAAGATCGCGGGGTGTACGGTATCGTGTATATAATAACGGCTAGCGAGCGCGGCACAAAGACGCGGCGGCGGAAAAACAAGATATCTCTCGCTTTGAGGCGAGCTGCAAGGCGCAGCTTACTGTAAGGTGATATTGAGCAAGAGGCAAAAAATCCGCGACCGACGCTCCCGCGGCGCGCACTACATCATATATATTATATACCATATATGTATCTATATAGGAGCGGCTGGTGCACGCTGTACGTATATATTTTTTCGGAAGCCAATACACGTATATAGATACATAATAGACAGAACACGAGCCGAGACTGCGTAATCTCAATCCAGTCGGGGGTCCGGCGCGAACGGACGAAAGCCAGATCAGCACTGGATGAATCACCTGATCATCGTTCAAGAGAGCTAATCTCTAGAGCTCGTGCCACTTCCGTATTATATATATAAGGGTGGCGTTTTAATCGAGGCGTACATTTGCCCATCACTATCTGCTCAATTACAATCGTGCAGTATATCTATAGTAGTAGCAGAAGAGGCTCAGGACGTTTTTTCCCCTGCGACACGGTCTAGAAGGCATTATATCCTATCTCGCAGAGGAAAATCATCCTCGGGAGCAGTAGAGCGAGAGAGCAAAAGCGTCGAGATAGAGAGAGAGAAAATGTACGTTAGGTGGAAGTTAAGCAGCGAGAGGCAGTGCACGCCGGCAGGCGCGGTGAAAAGTCAAGGCCGCGCGGCGCGCCGGGCGTAGTGTATACGCGCTGCACACAGGGGCGTCCGTTGCAACGGCGCTCGCGACGTGACGCGCACCCGCACACACCCGCACACAAACACGCGCAGACATACGCAGACGCAGACGTACATGGACGCACAGACGAGCTAGAGGGTCGCTGGCAACGAACCGACGCCCCCTCACACACACTCGCACTTTGTATACATATAGATAGAGAGAGAGAGAGCGAGAGAGAAAGAGCTAGTACACCAGTCTAGGGGTCGCGGTCGATAAAGTCGTCTGGGCGCAGGCGCTCGAGGAAGTCGCGCACTGCAAAAAAGGGGCTCGTCAGCTGCGCGCTCCAACATCGATCTTCCTTTCGAGGCAGCTTGCAATGCCTAGCTTTATACGTATAAACGACTCTCTCTGTGCACGCTGCGCGTATACACGTAGAAATATAGCTTCGAGCGTAGCTTTGGAACTCTGGCAACGCGCGTATAGAGCTCCGAGAGAGGAAGCTTGCGGAGTGCGCGATATTTTTGCGCCTCTATCTGTAACGTAAGTGTGTCTGCCCGTGTGTGTGGTCATCGCGCGTCGGATCGCTATCGGGCGTATACGCGCCTAGCTTCGCTCGAGTGCAGTAGATTTTGAGGAAGCCGGCGATACGAGCCGCTTTATCGAGCTTTGGCATCTATATCGTTTTAATAGCTCCCATGCATATTGTATACGTACGCAAATACAAGTAGGCTTGGCTCGACTCGTGCAGCATCGGCGGCAGCCGTTCGAGTTACGCAGAGCGACTTGGCTTTACTATTTGATTACACATTATAATATGTATATGCACACACGCGGCCCCGTAACAGTATATCGCCGCGAGTTCGAAAAACTGTCCAGCATTTATCTATTATTACTTGCGACGCGGAGCTTTTCAATCTCGTGCCCGTATCTCGACGTTGGATTCATCTTTTTATCCGCGCCTGTACACACGCCAATTGTTACTCATGCTCCACGGGATGCTGTTTCTTTCGCTCATCCTCTTACTATCTCTCTCTGCGTTCTGCATTGATTTCCCCCTGTCTCCTGCTATATACCCCCGAGAGATGACATATCGAAAAATTGATTTATCTATCAAGTTCACAGGATAACAAATTTTTTATGTACTCGAAGCTAAAAGCTGAGTAGATAACACAAATGCATTTTTAATGGCAATTTACGTCCATGTTGTATGCCGTTGTAAATGCTAAACACACTAAATACATTTTGAAGGAGCGACTTGACTCGCGGCTTGGTACTTGGAAACGCGGAAACAAAGAAGACTCTTTAAATCGCTTGTCTGCTGCGCTCGAGAGCTATATGTATATCTTTAAAGACGTCTGTTTGCCACTCCCTTGTCGATGCAAGAAGCAAGTCGATGCGCGAAAAGTTACCTCTTCCTTGGCTTTGCCAACCTTATTGTTCTATATAATGCTATATAGCCGTGACATCTTCGTCGTCGTGGAACATGAGCCAGAGCATCGAATACTGGAGAGGAGGGATGCTAATAAAGGAATAGAGAGAGAGAACCTCTTGCCTCTCTAGTCTGACTTCGCCTCACTCGCAAAGACGACGTCCGGAAGCATGACATCGAGCTAAAAGCTCCATATATCGAAATATATAGAAGGCAGTGCGTCTATATGCTGTATCACACAAGTCACAGGGGAAAATTAAGATGGAACAGCAGCAGCAGTAGCAGCGGTGGCTCCACGCCTGATGTTGTTGTTGCATGCATCAAAACGCAATTCGTCCGTAGCGACGCACGACCGGCAGGCTTTAATTTTATCGCGCTGCAGACCTTGAAATTTATTTTAAAAAGTTTTATCGACTATTTATCGCGCGCGCTGGCCGCCTCTTATGCGATCGGTGGTAAAAATCTGCCCCCGCGAGTGTAAAAATATCGGAGACGCGCCAGAGTTCGATGAATCATTCGTTGAAATGACGTTTTATTGATAGAAGGGCATTAAATGAGAGTCGCGCGCTCGCGAGCGAGAGAGAACTGAAATAGACTGCAAAAAACGAATCGCCGCAATGGTTATCAACCCAGGTCTAACTTGAGTATAAAAGCAAATAACTCGTCGAGAGGATGGAAGGTTTATTTTTGGTATTGCTAGCGATTTTTAAGCTCCGAGCTGGCTTTGTTTTATTTCTTTTTTTTTTACGATCGCTTTACCTTTTTTCTTTTTTTTTTTTTTTTTTTTTTTTTTTTTTTTTGACGAGACCGTTTGACCTTGGCTAAGTCAACTTATTACTAAAAGTCACACATCAGAGAGAGATAAGACGTGTAAAGCGAGTGAAAAAAAATACCATTTTATACTTTGAGCCTGGTGTGTTTTTTCTTTAGATGAGCTTATATTTGCATTTGGCTTTGATATAATTAATACCTTGCCATTATGATTATAATACTTAAATATGAATTAAGATAATTAGAAAAAATATGTTAAATTGTTCCCTTGAGCTTCTATTTAATTTTTTTCTACGACCAAACGTAAATCTATCGTGTTTATCACTTCCTTTTCAAGCCTATCAAGCATGTATGCGGGCTCTCTCTCTCTCTCTCTCTCTCTAGCTTCAAATAAAGACCGCTAATTCCACTAATGGTCTCTATTTGATATCTTATGTTACTACTATCAGTAATTTAAGATCACAGGAGTTTCGCGAAAACAATCCTATTATGCGAAGGTTAAATTAGATTACTGTATAGCCTGGAAGCGTATTAGACTCAAGCGAAACTTGACACCTGTCAAACGAAGCTTTTACATATTCTTTAGAGAGAATTTAATCGAGCTGGGCTAGTATAAGTTAAAATTCGCGCATTTTCGACAATATTTATGAGTCACGAAGAATCTGCACATTACTGAAGGAGAGAAAAAGGACCATTACCGTCCAGGCCAGACAATCCATCGGTCGGAACAGGTCTTGACCCTTGGGAAAACTCCCCTCGTCTGGATGATGGCGCATACATACATACAGGTCCTGCTTTATGCTCGAGAAAAGATACATTTCAAGGTCAGTCTAGCTCGGCGAGTTTTCCTTTCTAAATCAACTCGAGTAAGACCGATGTCTATTTCTCTTCAAATTGCGCGCGAGTCTCATCGATAAACCATTTCGCCTCGTAATGTCCGTACCACATCCACTCGATGTACTGCTTCTCTCCTTCGTTACGGATCGCTCAGAGAGATCCGCGTATTATGATAGGCGTCATTTGTGGCTTACATCGTTCACTTTATCGCCTAAAACTCGAATCGATCGCTCGCTCGACCAGGCCCCTCATATTTCTTTTTGCCTCTGAAGCTTCAGCAATCCGAGAGGCGAAAAGCGATTATCTATTTTTTTTCTTTTTTTTTTTGCAACCTTTGGAACGTAATATAAGGGATCGTTGCATTTAATTTTACTTCGATACGATCGACACATTGTATACGCACACGCGATGGACAGGCTATACTCGACGCGTGCGTGTATTTGTGCGAATGAAATAAAAAAAAGTGCAAGAGTAAATAAAGACACCCTCTTCTTGCGAGCATGGTATAATGAAAAAATTATGCATTGAATACTAAACGGTAGGCCATACACACGCGCGTATATAGGGTGTCGTTCTTTACTTCAAAGAGAAATTTGCCATTCAGCCGTGAAAGGTGTCAAAAGAGAAATTTTCTCTATAGCTTTGTTTCCTCGTTGATTGAGGCATAATGTATTAAAAATTCAGGCTATTTTCGCGCTGCAATTTCATCAATCCAACATATCTTACCTTTATATGATAAGAATTCAGCTTCGTCCTGGGCAGGCTGTTGAATGCGCTGAAGTCTAGACGTCGCGAGAAGATTCCGTTTGCTCCGCAGCTTTGTCTGAAAATGGCAAAAATACGAGATTTAATTATAAACTCGGAGAGGCAAACAAGCAAGAATCTCCTATTTTTCGCGAAACGTGCTATAAAGTGTGCGTGTGTATATGCGCGGGGATTGGAGAAATCCTTCGTTAAATATAGCGAGAGAAAAGAAGAGACGAGTTTTGCGTGCATGAATGACAGAAGAGAACATGTAACGACTATATATAATTCACGAATGCTCTCGAATAAAATCTACCGTGTGAAATTTGAGATAATAAGACGTTATGTACATCCCAAAGAGCCGTGGATGCGTGTAAAAAATGCACGAATCGTTTTTCAAGGTGACCTACATATAAAAATCACTCGATACAATTCATCGCTACATAAATGTACACGGACGCAATTATTTTCAAGAATTAATCCGACGGTCTAGGCTCAGCAGAATCGAATTTGTCATGATGAACTCAAGTTGTGTATTATTTAGTGTAGTATAATTTATTCAAAGACAATCAAGAATATTCAGCTAATAAGTCAATTAAAAAGGTTAGAGACCAAAAATAATTTCGGAATTTTTTTTTATCTTGGCTTTTTATAATCGAGACGACTTTAATCAACACGTAAACCGTCGAGCCTGTCGTTCTATTTTTAAAATTCATAAATTGTTCGATGCACCTCGGATGTCTGGCCCGTTTGATGCTTCTTTTTCCAACAACATCGTTTCATTCCGACGCCCACGCGGCTCTCCGCACTGACTCGTATCTGCATCTCACACCGCCTTCGATCGTAAGGACGCTCGCGCGCACTGGGTCGAAAAATGCTTCTTTCTTTTTCTTTTTTTTTTTCAAGACTTATCCGCGGCGATCTAGGCTCGTCTAAAGAATCAGCTCGATGCAATCGCGCGTCATGTATGTACACGGTTTACTCGTCGCGCAGCAGCCCAGCAAGATTATCCGCTGAGACTGGTTTTCCGCGCTATAATGCAGTCGCGCATCTTGCCTGTGACGCGTATATCTATATAGATGCGCTGCATTGTGTGTATTCCTCAAGCTCGAAAAATGGCTTGACGATAAAACACAATATAATATTCATTGCGCGTGCCAACCCACTCCTCGCGCATACATACACTCACCGCATATGCACACATACACACACACTCACACAAGGAACAAAGTATCGGCCTCGGCGCGTGGGACTTGAAGCGCGCAACAAAGTTTCATACAAATGCATGAACGTTTACGCGAGGAGTGCTTTTTGTATTTTATTTTTCTATCTTTTTTTTTAAGCGTCACCCGCATGAATTAACAATATACATCCGCTGGTTTTTCTTTTCCTTTTTTTTCGCTTCGAGTCACACACACACACGAGCTGTTGGTTTTCATGCATCCTTTTAGCAGATCTCGTGCAGATGAATCGACTCATTTTTCGCGTCGTCCGTGTGTGCCGTTACTCCGTCTCTCGGTTGACAAAGTATCAAAAGAAAATTCGATGCAACACAATGGGCACGACGTGGACACACATCGATGTTTTTACATACGAAACGTATAGCGACTTTTTGACTCGAATGTTTGCGTTCGAGATATTGTGGATGTTTTTTTTTTGCTATACACACACATATTCATACGCACGAGAGCTAAATAATAAATTTATTCGCCTCGTTCGCGTGTACGTAATATGCTCTGCAGGGCATGCAGAAAAAAAAGAAGAAATAAAAAAGAAAAAGAAAAAAATGGCCGAGTACGCGTGCGCGTGTTCACGTGCGTTGTAAAACATCGGAGGAGGCATATATATACGTACACCAACGTAAATGCTGAATACGATCGCGAGTATTCGTCATCGCAGGAAACATCTATACGATTATTGATACAAGTGCATCCTCGAGATGCGTATACATGCAGCAGCAACTTGGGTAGACTGCGGCGCAGCACGAGCCGATGAACGAGCGATTAGTCAGTCGTATTTATTTACCATCGCGCGCGATAAGTTTTCATAAACGAGATCGGCAGAAAACTTCTCTCGTTACATCGTACTTCCACAATTATGACATGATTGACGCTGCGTTACGTGAAAATACGACAAATTTATATTTGCTTCGTAATTAAGAACGGGATCGTGTGCGTGATTCATTGCGATTATACGAGCTCGCGCGATGGCGACGCGCCGATGTTTCATTTATTTGTATACGAGCCGAAGGAGTGGAAAAAAAACGAACCAACTATAGCTGCGATGCTGTAATTTATTTAAATAAACTTCGGGCGCGCGATGCGCCTCATTAAATTTGGCTATAAACAAAATATGTATCGGCGACGCTTTATTAATATTTAAGTAGCATTTTGCGAGCTCTCAAAAATGTTGAACGTATTTTACTGATTCATTTAAAAAATATACATGATTCACGTTACTGTGCACGTATAGTTATACATGCGCCCGTCTCTACAACGGATCGTGCTCCGTCTTTATACGCAGTGGTTTTTTGAATTACTTCGGTTGAATGTATTTACTTTGACGAATATAGAACACATTGCGCGCACTCGGGCTCACCGAAATAAAAGTGACTTTTTGTTCGCGCTGAGTGGATATATATCTATATTTCTAACGACTCGGCTACAGAGATACCCTTGAGACGTAATCCAATCTGTTCGGCACAAAAAATTGCGGATCGCACGCGGATAAAGGCGAGAAACTCTAGCGTCGACGCTCGGGCAAAATTTATTTCTTTGCAGAGCCAATCTTCCTTGATCAATTGTTTTGCACGGGCGGCGAGCGCGGGCAAGCGCAAAATCGAACATTTTTTCCATCGAATAATCCGAATTTCTGCGGCGAGTCACTTCGAGACTGCCGCAATAACATATATATAACATATAGGTAGTAAAAATCAAACGATTTATTTTCGTACACGGGATTCAAGTGCAATGCTGACACAGAAAAGGGTGCAGTTTCTGCAACAGCGCGTACGTGATCACGTGTGAGTGTGTATGTTCAGTGTCAAAGAAGAGACGGAGCCAAGAGAGAAAAAAGTGCACACTTCGTACTCTGTAGTAAAAGTTTGCGACTTAAAGAGAATAAGTACATATAGACAAAGGAGTAAGTGTTTAAAGACAAAATCAAGAAACTAAGCTAAGAAGAAACTCCATGAATGTTAATGAGGCGCAAATCGACGCGCAACGAAACGTCAAAAGACGAGTATTGCCTTTCTTTATATATATACTTATATGTAGCGTCGAAAATAAACCAAATGACATTGATATTAGCATAAATTTGACAAACAATACGTGCCAAATAATGAAAAAAAAGGTTACGGCAATGCGCGCGTGTGTGCTCGTGTCTCTGCATATAAACCGTGAAAAGAGGAAGATATAAAGAAAGAGAGAGGAACACGACGTTTCTTTGGGTCATCGTGTGAAGGACACACGTAAATGGGCATGACACACACTGTCCGCGGCATTGCATATATTTTTTTCTTCGATCGATCAATTCGTACGATGAATTCTCGGCGTGATAAGCCACGAACAAACTCCTTATGTAGTTAATAACATAAGTTTCAAGTGCAATGAAACTCGGGCTTACAGAGATACACCACCTCGAGGCTTCTTTTATTTTATCGTATAGATACAGCTAATTTATATCTTGTGATATCAACAGATTGTACTTTTTTTGGATTAAACTCGTGGTAGACAAATAAGAGAAAAGATTGTAATTAATTTGAAACAAAAATAAATAAAAAAATTGATAAACATTGAATCTGTTAGAATTGTCGAAAGTCATCAAAGCTTCGGTAATATTTATTTATTTAAAAAATTACCACAATTAAACAATTTTTTGTGAAAATTATACAAAATCAAAAATGATCAAACTCTAAATTGACTGTCCAATTGGATACAAAAAAGAGCTCTATAATTACTGGTAGATTAAAAAAACAATTTTTTTATAGTCGCGTCAGTTCATTTTATTCAAGATTGATTGATTTCTTGCTGATTCGATAAATATTTTGAGTATATACGGGGAATATTTGACTACACACCTAATTTATATCTTATGTTGATTTTATAACCATAATGTATTCCACGTAACGTTCCTCAATATATTTACTCAGTCCTTAGGTAAGAAATGTAATCTGCAAACCTGCATTAAAAGTATTAGCTACTGATCGGGTAAACTTTCTCCTCTTTATTTTGTAAATGTTTGAGTTAGTGGCCTTTTGTACCGTAACGCTACATCTCGTTTTTCCCTTTACGTGTTAAATATTTAGCGCTTTTATTGTAATAAATGTCTGAGAAAAAACGTAAAAGCGAAAAAGAGAAAGAAACAAAGGAGAAAAAGATCGTTATCGTTTTACGACATTTTATGAATCTTGGCTTTTTATACTCAAAGTATGATCAAGAAAAGTTTTTTAATCAACGCGCGCGCACACCTTCAAGTACCTCGTTCTATTTTTGAAATTGATAAATTTTTGCGATGCAACGCACATTACGTCGCAGTAATTTATGTTTTATGTAGCAGTGCCTTCTTATATTCAAAGATCGAGTACGCATGCGATCGCGCGCGAATACGAAGAGCGGGTTTATAAATTAAAATCGGTTATGAGTGCGAGGAGTCATTGGCAATTTCGATAAAAATCGATTTTTTTCGCAACTCCTCTCTCGCCGATTTATTGCGTTGGTTATAATCCTCTTTCATCGTTCTACTCTCTTTCTTTCTCTCTCGCTCCCTCGGCTGCATTCGACTGTGCATCGATCGATAGTGCTTTTAATTGGTGCTTTTAGCCCCTCGCTCGATGTACCGGTTTTTCATGATATATTTTATATGCATTAATATATATTACGCACGTAAAAATATTGCAGAGATACGACGCTGTGCTCGCTCGCGATGCATCCAATCTATAACTCGAGCCGCGCAGCAATACGTGTTGTACGTGCCAGTAGTCGTTTTCTTCGAAGGCGCGCGAATTAAACTTGGAAAACGTCTATTCGATTATTACTCGCCTTACGACTTCTAAGCCGATCCGTGGCTACAATGTGTGTT